GTAAGTTACGTTACGTACTATAGTACCTACCGACGTAATACTCGTAGTCTAGTGTCGTACGTACTTGTAGTAGTACTCGTCCCTGGCGTGTCATATCTCTCTCTCTCTCTCTCTCTCTCTCTTTATTATATATATATATATATATATATATCAGGGTTACTCCCATGAGGGTCCAATTGAATGATCAAAAGGGTCACTTCTAGTTGCAGGCAGGATGATCAAAAGGGTCACTTCTAGTTGCAGGCAGGATGGCCTTCGACTGTTTCTCCATCAAATTCTCCCAAATTACATGGTATTGGAGCCAAAAAATGCAAATAAACTCCATAACCCCTTTAACATTAATATAATCAATTGCATCATTATTTACACGATTGAAGGGGTAGATTTGAAGCTCAAATGCAATGCAAACCAATTCTACTTTATAATTGACCTTTGGTTAATTAAATATCTATATAACTTCATGAGTTTGAGGAGTTATTGGTTGGGATCGATTGGTAAAAATCAGCAAGGGTTTATAAAATTCAAAGGTATTGTGCATTCACATCAATATAAACAAGCAATGAAAATTACACAATATCAAAGCAAGAACATGGAATGAAAAATCCAACAACATTCAATCAAAAGAGCACAAATTTTTAACGTGGTTCAGTAACAAAATGTGACCTATATCCACGGGAGAATGGTGCGAAAATGTACTTATTGATTTAGGAAGATTACAAGGTGAAATCAAGCTCAAAATATCAATTTCCAACAACCATTTTTCACTCTAAACCGAACCTAAAAACAAGGCACCAAAAACACCCAAAAATGAGTTTTCTTTAACACTTTCTTTCACTAAAACATGGCACACAGCAAACCTACAATGGAGTTAAAGCCTTTTGCTCACTTTATCTCTCTAAAACAGAGCATACTAAGCCCTCAAGAGAAAACCCAATTGTAGCCCCATCTCTCTATCTTTTTTTCACTATTTCTCTCTTTAATTAATCTTTTTAAAAGAGTAAAGTTCCTATAATACTACAACCAATGGATTAGATGAAATCCAATGGCCCAAAATAAAAGAGAGAAAAATTAAATAAAACTCCCACATGTATGATTTGTTTTCTTACATGTAACAATATCCCATTTAAAGACAAATCACAAAATCTTCGAAATAATCACCAATGCACCACACTCCACCTGAGGTTACTTCTCGTCCAACCCCAAAAGTATTCTACACATCGTATTCTTTTTAGTTGAAACAATCTTTGTCAACATATCAGCAAGGTCCTTATTAGTGTGAATCTTGTCCAGCTCCAAATCTCTACGCTCGAGGGCAAACCAAATAAAATGATATCTAATCTCTATGTACTTTGTCTTGGATGAAAAGCTGCATTTTTAGCCAGATGAATAACATTCTGGTTATCATAATGCATAACATATTTATCATGTTTCACCCCAAACTGGCCAAGTGACATTCTCACCAAATCATTTCTTTTGCTGCATCAGTCACTGCCACATACTCAGCTTCAGTTGATGAGAATGCAACAATATCCTGTAACCTCGACATCAAGCTGACTGCACCACCACCAACATTAAAAATATATCCAGTGGTTGACCTTCTAGTATCACGGCATCTTACATAATCTACATCTACATAACCAACAACTTCCAATGATAAATTTTCAAAACACAAGGATACATTTCGTGTCCTTCAAAACACCGAAGAATCCATTTAGCTAGTTGCCAATGCTCCCAACTTAAATTAAACATAAATTTGGAAAATATTCCCATTGCATGGGTAATGTCAGGTCTAGTACAAACCATGACATACATCAAACTACCCACTACAAAAGTATATGAAACATTCTTCATCTTATTCTAGATTCCTCATTCATTGGAGAGTCTCTTTTAGACAACTTGAAATGTGCAGTTAATGACGTAGAAACATGTTTACAGTCAATCATATGGAAGCGCTCAAGAACTTTAAAAATATATTCAGATTGACTTAATCAAAGCTTATATTGATTTCTGTCTCTATGGATATACATGCCCAAAATCTTCTTGATTAGTCCAAGATTCTTGGTGGAAAAATGCTTAGACATGTCAAGCTTTCAACACTTGATTTCACTCAGATCATTGCTAGCAACAAGCATATCATCAACATAAATTAACAAAATAGTAAAAGAATTATATGTTGAACCATTGAAGTACACACAATGATCAAAATCGCATCTAGAATAACCTTCACCCAATATAAAATTGTCAAATTTCTTATACCATTGCCTAGATTCTCATACAATCCCTTTTTCAACTTGCAAACCAAGCTAGAATTGATTTTGTTATCAAAACCGTCAAGTTGACACATTTAAATTTCTTCATCAAGATCATCATGCAAAAAAACAGTTTTAATATCAAGTTGTCCTAGCTCCAAATTCAAATTAGCAACTAAAGATAAAACATCTCTAATAGAGCTATGCTTAAAAACGAGAGCAAAAATTTCATTAAAATCAACACCTGATTTTTTCTGATAACTTTTTATCACAAGTCTGGCCTTATATCGCATAAGGCCATGTGCCTCCCACTTAATAGCATTACCCACCTATTCTTTAATGCTTTCTTCCCATGTGAAAGTTCCACCAACTCCCACGTATCATTCTTATGCAAAGCATCAATCTCCTTTTCCATCGCCTTATGCCACTTTCAGCATTATGACAATAAATAGCCTCCTAAAAAGACTTAGGTTCACCACTATCAGTATACAAATCATAATATAAGGTAGGAGAATACCTTTGTATGGGTTTGTGAGGGCGTGTGGATCTTCTCAATTCTGACTTAGGTGTAACTGGTAGTCCCTCTTCATCTTGAACTAATTCAGTGTCATCCTCATAACTAGCATCACCTCCATCTAAACTGTCTTGAGCTCGAGCTTGACTCTATTGCACTTGTTGAGGTAAAACAATGAGATTTGGTTCTTGTATATCC